GTTCATCTGCCAATGTTCAATGCTTCAAGTGTAAAGGAAGAGGACATTATGCATCTGATTGTCCCAATAAGAAGGTAATGGTACTTCGAGATGATTGGTACTATGAAAGTGAAGAAGAAGATGTGTACGATCAATCTAATATGGTTTTAGCAACAACCGAGCAAGCTACAACTAGTCAAATGTATGATAAGGGAGCTTCTGAGAGTGAAGATGAGGTTGTCTATGAGGAAGACGTATCTCGAGCTATGGTTCTAGCTCATGCTCTTAATATCCAGCCAGCTCAAAACAAGAATCTCGAGCAACGCACTAATATTTTCCATACAAGGTGTAAGGTGAATAGTAAGACGTGTCTTGTGATTGTGGATGGAGGAAGTTGCACAAACTGTGTGAGCGTGGAACTTGTCAAGAAATTGAACCTTCCTACATTCAAACATCCTCAACCTTACAAGTTGCAATGGTTAGATGATCGTGGAGAAATTAAGGTACGGTCGCAAGCTCGCTTACTCTTATGTTTTAAAACGTTCCAGGATGAAGTTCTTTGTGATGTGGTTCCAATGCAAGCATGTCATATATTGTTGGGACGTCCATGGGAGTTTGATCGAGGTGCAAACAAAGATGGGAAGACAAATCAGTATTCACTTGTGCATAAGGGTTTGTCTATTGTATTATGTCCGTTATCTCCTACGGATATCATGGAATCTCAGAAAAAATGCAAAGAGAGAGAGAAAAGACATGAAAGTGAGCCGAAAGAGTCAAAAGAGAGTTTGGGGAATGGGAGAGAATCAAAAGTGAGTGAGAGTTTGAGAGAAAAGCCAAAAGTCGGGGAGAGAAAAGACAGCTTTTATGCTTCTATGGGAGACCTTGGGAGGGCTCTAAATACTCGCGCTCCACTTGTTTTAATTGTTTACAAGGATTTATGTTTAACTAACACTAACCCCATTGAAAATATTCCTAGTGTTGTTAAAGCTGCTCGCAGGATTATGAGGATGTTTTTCCAGAAGAATTGCCAAAGGGACTTCCACCTTTGAGGGGAATTGAGCATCAAATTGATTTTATCCCAGGATCAGTAATTCCTAATCGTCCTGCATACAAGGCGAACCCCGAGGAGACCAAGGAACTGCAACGTCAAGTCGACGAACTCCTTGACAAAGGTATGGTTCGTGAATCTTTAAGTTCTTGTGTAGTGCCTGTCATTTTAGTTCCTAAGAAAGATGGAACATGGCGTATGTGTGTGGATTGTCGTGCTGTGAATAAAATTACTATTAAATATAGACATCCCATACCTAGGCTAGATGACATGTTAGAAGATTTATGTGGCTCTTGCATATTTTCTAAAATAGATGTTGCTAGTGGCTATCATCAAATTCGCATGAAAGAGGGTGATGAATGGAAAACCGCTTTTAAAACTAAATTTGGTTTATATGAGTGGATGGTTATGCCTTTTGGTTTGACTAACGCTCCTTCTACTTTTATGCGTCTTATGAACCATGTGCTTAGACCTTATATAGGTAAATTTGTTGTGGTTTATTTTGATGATATCTTAGTGTATAGTAGAGATGAAGTTTCGCATGCTAAACATCGTTCGAGTGTGCTCTCTGCTTTACGTGAAAATAAACTTTATGCTAAACTTGCTAAGTGTACTTTCTGTGTATCAGAAGTTATTTTTCTTGGTTTTGTTGTTAGCAAGGATGGTGTTAAAGTTGACGAGGCTAAGGTTAAGGCAATTCGAGAATGGCCTACACCTAAGTCCGTCTCTGACATTCGTTCCTTCCATGGTTTAGCTAGTTTTTATCGAAGGTTTGTAAAGGATTTCTCTACTAAGGCTGCACCCTTAAATCACTTAATAAAGAAGAATGTTAGGTTTGAATGGGGTGAAGAACAAGAACTTGCATTTAACACTTTAAAGAATGATTTAACTTGTGCTCCTGTTCTTGCATTACCTAATTTTGATCTTACTTTTGAAATTGAGTGTGATGCATCTGGGGTTGGAATTGGTGCTGTGTTAATGCAAAGTGGTAAGCCTATCGCGTACTTTTCGAAAAAATTAAGTGGTGCAACATTAAATTATCCTACTTACGATAAAGAATTGTATGCTGTAATTAGGGCTTTAGAAAATTGGCAACATTATTTAATGCCAAAAGAGTTTGTTATCCATAGTGATCATGAGTCTTTGAAATATTTGCATGGACAAAACAAACTGAATAAGAGACATGCTAAATGGAGTGCATTTCTTGAATCTTTTCCTTATGTCATTAAGTACAAGAAGGGAAAAGAGAATGTGGTAGCTGATGCATTGTCTCGTAGATCGTATGTACTTTCTGTGCTTGATTCTAAGTTATTAGGGATTGAATACATCAAGGATTTGTATGCTACTGATTCTGATTTTTCATCCATTTATGAAGCATGTGAAAGTGACGCATTTAACAAGTTTTATAGGTACGAAGGTTTCTTGTTTAAAGATAATAAATTATGTGTGCCTGCTTATTCTCTGCGTGAACTATTAGTGCGTGAATCTCATAGTGGTGGTCTTATGGGTCATTTTGGTATCTTGAAAACTTATGATGTTTTATGTGAGCATTTTTATTGGCCTAATATGAAACGTGACGTAGAAAAAGTTTGTTCTACTTGTATTGAGTGCAAACAAGCAAAGTCTAAGTCACAACCACATGGGTTATATACGCCTTTACCTGTACCTACCCACCCTTGGATTGATATTTCAATGGACTTTGTTTTGGGATTACCTAAATCTCAAAAGGGTGTGATTCAATTTTTGTGGTAGTTGATAGGTTTTCTAAGATGGCACATTTTATTCCTTGTCATAAATCTGATGATGCCAAACATGTAGCTGATTTATTTATGCGTGAAATTGTTAGATTGCATGGTTTACCTAGAACTATTGTGTCTGACAGAGATGTTAGATTTTTGAGCTACTTTTGGAAAACTTTGTGGGGAAAACTAGGTACAAAACTGTTGTTTTCAACAACTGCTCATCCTCAAACAGATGGCCAGACGGAGGTGGTTAATCGGACTCTTGGTTCATTGCTTCGTGTTTTGATCCAAAAGAATCGTAAGAATTGGGAAGCTTGTTTGCCTATTGCTGAATTTGCATATAATCGTGTTGTGCATTCTACTACCCAATATTCTCCGTTTGAAATTGTTTATGGATTTAACCCCTTAACCCCTTTAGACCTGTCTCCATTGCCTGTTTCTGAGTATCTTAATGCAGATGGAGCCAAGAAAGCTGAGTATGTACGTTCTCTTCATGAGAAAGTGCACATGAATATTGTGAAGAAAAATGAGCATGTTGCGCGAATTGCCAACAAGGGGCGTAAGGAAATGATATTCGAACCTGGTGATTGGGTTTGGGTTTATTTAAGGAAGATTCGATTTCCTACAAAGGTTAAATCGAAGTTAGATCCTCGTGGAGCTGGTCCTTTCCAAGTTGTCAAGCGTTTGAACAACAATGCTTATCAACTTGACTTTCCTGGTGAGTATAATGTTAGTGCGACTTTTAATGTTTCTGATTTATCTCCATTTGATTTCTCAGATCCTGAAGCTGTACAAGCTTTGGATTCGAGGACGAATCCTTTCCAAGTTGTCAAGCGTTTGAACAACAATGCTTATCAACTTGACTTTCCTGGTGAGTATAATGTTAGTGCGACTTTTAATGTTTCTGATTTATCTCCATTTGATTTCTCAGATCCTGAAGCTGTACAAGCTTTGGATTCGAGGACGAATCCTTTTGAGGAAGGAGGTAATGATGTGAACATCCATGGTAATCAAGTCCAAGATGATCAAGGTGTTCGGGTTCCAAATACTGTCCAAGCTCAAAGAGTGGCTCAAGATCCATTATCCAACATTGGAGGCCCAATGACTCAAGCTAGAAGTAAAAGGATGAGGAGTGCACTTAATAATCTTATATCCAATGGTTTAGCCCAAGAGAATGTCAAGTCTGGAAGTTACAAACCCAAGATTATTAATGTGTTACGAGGCCCATTTGATGAAGGAAATTTCGGCCCACAAACCATGCAAGGGAGGCCAGCCCTATCTCCTAATTTTTAAGAGTTGGAATCTCTATATTTTAGGGATAAAATCATTTAAATCTTATCATACTTGTGGAAGGATAAGATTTGGAAGATTCCCTATCTTTTAGAGACAAGATCATTTAAATCTTATCCTTAAATCTTATCATATGGAAGGATAAGATTTGATATGATTCTCTTTTATCTAATTTAGAGTTTATTCAAAATAAGAAGTCTATTCCTTAGTGTCTACTCTCAACCGTCGAATGGAAATTAGATCAAGATTGGATGGCTATGATTACTCTACAAAGAAGATATTGATAGAGTTGACAACTCAGGAAGATTCTTTTCAAGATAAGGATAAGATTCTTTTGAGAGAATATCTCTTTGTATTTGGAGTTTTATCTTTATTAGACTAGTGTGTCTTAAGTCTATAAAGGTGTCTAGATACATTGCCTTAATAGATAAGACACAAGTTGTCAATTAGAGGTTAAGTTGATTTCTAGTTCTTTAAAGTAGGAATAGAGTTAGAGATCAAACTCTTCTCCTATTTCATAGGAGAATTTCGGCCCCCTCTACTATAAATAGGGGTGTTTGGCCAGCATTTTATTGGTACCTTTGATGAATTATTTCAGTATGAAACGAGAGGAAACTCTTTGTTCTTTTGCTACTCTTTTCGAAGATCAGTGCATTGCACACAAGCTTGTGCTTTGTTGATGCATGCGAGTAGAATAGGTGTTTTTCTACTTGTGGAGCTTTGTTAGTTGTTCATTGGAGCCTTTTCGCTAGCCGTTCTATCCATAAATCGAAGGGATAGGGTTGTTAGAGAGGTGACCGATTGGGTTGCTAACCTTAAACAGTTTCTACATCTTCTAAACCTTTCCATCCCTTTTTGGTGCAAATTTTTGTGGTTTGCATCTCTTCTTTTCTTTTAATTTTCATGAGTGGTGGAGTCCATAATATTGGATTTGCAAGTTTTCAAGTCCTGAGAAATTCATAGCTTCCGCGTCGAGGTAAATCTGCCACCTTTGCCTCAAGATTCATATCAAAAAGACTTGTTCCTCCTCTAAAAGTTGTTGCCTTTTTGATCCAGCTCGGATACAAGCCTGCATTGCTCCCTTCCTTTGAACTTGATCCTGCTGTTTCAGCTTCAAGGTAGATGGTTTGAGCTGCTTTTGTCCAGCATCTCCCAATTTTAAGCAAATGAGTCCCACCAGTATTCTGCTTTGACACCTGTTCAACAACAAAATTCATGAAGTGGTACGGAATAAAACTCATTTCAGCTCCACTCAGAGTTACCAAACCATTCAACTGCCAACTCTCTTTCTTTATCAAAAGAATGCCTCCAGGTAGTGTTTCAGCACCTAGCAGCTTAGCTCTCCATTCCATTTCAGACACATCCGCCTTAGGAGATTTTTTTACTCCACACAATATTTCTGAATTCTCGTTGCCTTTACTGGCACTAACCATAACGAACTTAGACTTCTGTTCCTTGTTGGCGCCCTTATATGATATTCCAGCATACTCTAGGATATGATATTCCAGCATACTCCAGCATGTGTTGGCGCCCTTATATGATATTCCATCATACTCCACTTCTTTAACTCTTATTCCCGGATCCCAAACAATATCATGGATCTTTCCACATATTTGAGACATTTGACCTCTAGTGTCACAACGACCCATAGTGTCAAAAACACACTTCTTTTGGTCATCGGCTACAGGTGAAAGCACAGAACCATTACCACTTTTCACACATTCAGAATTCCCAATAAAAACAAACACCAAACAATCACTGCTTCCATTAACAACATTATTTTCAACACTGGTGAACTCAACACATAGCATTACAGTACTCAATATAGAACCATAATTTCTCAGCACACAGAAAGAATTTCCAAACAAGCGACAATAAAAAAGAACTTCATGGAAGATAAACACAGCACCAACTGGGAGAACATACACATTTACCTCTAACAAGCACTGATCTTGATGATTAACTCCATTGCCAAGAATCAGAACACCTAGATTTAGGCCACCATACCGCTCCTTTGGCAAAACAATGGAACATTCTACACCAGCATTGCCATAATATCCCTCGATCCAATCTAAGCTCTTGTGAAGTAACTTACATGTGTACCAGTTATTACTTCAGACCAGGGATAGAGATTTTTAATCATTGTCTAAAATACGGAGCTTATAATAACATAAAGATCACCAACAAACAAGTCACTTTTAGTAACAGTAATGTCAAGGCCATAGCCCTCAACAGGTTCAGCCAAATGATGCCAATCTAATGCCACTTCAACGATATACCAAGCAATTTTTCACTCAAAGTTCATATGAAATGCGCAGTAATTCTCTTTGATAAAATTAACAAAGACAAAACTATTTCCATTCGGTTTAGCTCTCAAAAGCTTAGATAGCAATGCAGCTGGAATACCAAAAGCCAAAGAATTCCAACTTCATCAAGCAATTTCACAGCTTCATTAACATAAGACCTAACAACTCGTATCTCCTCTCCAGCTAAAGTAAGGCTTGACCTCAAGCCTAGGAGGTAGAAAACAATTTTAGAGTGTACCTTGTGTTCAAAAAGTATTGGGAGCAGCCACATTGGTCCCCATAACACTTGATTGAGCAACAATAAATGGTCTGAAAAGACTGACCACCATAACATAGCTATAGGTAGGTTCAATCACAACATCGTTCCATTCAGCCAAAAGAACAAAAATAGCATCAGCATGATATAAATTAGGACAGAATTCTTTAACTTGCAATTCTCTTTTTGAGAATATTTCACGGGAACATTTCGGCTGTAATAACTAATCACTAGGGTCAATAACAAAACTACCTGGATGATTTCTCTTAGTAACCAAACATAGCCATTCTGAACTACCTTTGAAGAGGTTAAACATACCATTTGACAACCAATTATCGCCCACCATAATACAGTCACTCCTCTGCTCCCTTTTAACATAATCAGCATCAACAAGACATGCATTTCCCTCCGGTTCCAAATGAAATAAGCTATGGCCAAATCCACCATAAGTGCTTTTACCACAATAGGCAACTTTACTAACTAATTCCATATTTCCCTATAGCTACAATAACTAGCATCATGCATTTTTATTTTTAAAACTCTGAGAAAACATTCAGCCCTCTTGGCCATCTCATTTTCACTCGGATTACAATTTACATTATCCATAATTTGGCAAGTCATAGCATTTTCAACTAACATAGTTCCCTTTTTGAAACAAGATACCATTTTAAGCCAAAGTTCTAACGTCTTCTCATTACAACGTGGATTTCTACTACTGTAGTCTATACCAATGACATAACTGAAATCATCATCATTAAAATAGTTTCCCATCCTACCAGGATCAACATGAAAAGAATTAGGGCCAAGTAATGTATTATTGTGCCAACTCAAACCATCGTAACTATTATTTAGACTCTCCGGGAACACAGTCGAATTCCGGAACGAGATTTCAACAAACAACGAAAGCAATGACTTATCAATACTAACATTCAAATTCCCATACGAATCATCATCATCCCCAATAATCTCAGAAATATCAATGGATGAAATATTCAGATAACTAGCATGAAGCAAATCACCATTTTCAACCTCGATTTGCAAAATTTCAGCATGATTACCATTTAAACCAATAGAAACAGTTCCACACAAGTGATTCCCTTGACTAACAATTTCAGTATTTTCATATGAATCATTCTGAGAAACAGAAAGGTTACCATTTCCATCCAAATTCCCAACGTAGTTGTCAGTAGGCCAATCAACCATAAGCTCTCGTGTGTCCTCCTCTAATGAAGTCGTCTCGGACTCCACCGTATCACCATCGAATTCTTCGAACTTTGTAACTGAACAATTCATAGGCGACGCTTCCCAGATATTAATCATCACAGTCGGACGGATGACTCTGCCAAACAGGAGTTTGAGCTGATCCGCAAAATCCTCACAAGTTGTTAACTTGGAAACGTAGATTAATCCGTAGAGAAACCGCAACGCCTCGCCGGACAAGTAGAAAGAAGCAGTAAATAGTCTCATATGGAGTGGAACGCGATTATAATAGAAAGATCGCTCTATTTGGTCAAGACAATCCCTTATGTTTTCGCCGGAAAAGAGGGGAATTTCGGATGGTGAAGGTTCAGGCAGATTAAACGATGTTGGATCCGATGGCATGATTTCTGAGGATGGACCAGACAGTAGGGTTTGAACCCGGAGTAGATTCTTGTCGGATTTTTCGAATTCCATCGATGATAAAATAAATGGAACAGGATAAAAGCTTGGAGCGAACCACAGAAATGGAGAAATTCGCTCAGATTTCAGAACGGGAAAGGAGAGAAAGAGATTTCAGATTTCAGAGCGCTACGAAGAAGAAGGGAGAAGAAGAGAGTGAATCGTACACGCTAAATCAATACAGAGATGGCCGAGGAAGGACCGCTTTGATACCAATTGTCATGACCGAGGGCCTTTTTGGGTGGCCGGAAAAGAGAAAAGGAAGAAATGGACGGAAGTCGCTGGATTAGGGTTCGGGAATTATGGGGAAAATAGATAAAAAGAGGAAAACTGGAAAAATCCAATTTAGCATAATAATTCTGATAAATTAAATTACAGACCCAACCTAGAATTTATACTCTACCTATGATCTAAAATGACACTTCGATCCTTCTAATTTCTATTTCATAAAAATCTAACCTTTAAATAATCCAGGGCGTGACATAGAAGTTTTGATATTATTTGATCGCTTTTCAGTTTTCTGGCCCAAAATAACAAAGTTCATCTTGACACAAAAGTCGGTGATAGTATTCGGTGGAGCAGATATATTAATGGCAACAAAACTAACAAGTTAATTTAATTGTTTTTATCCAATCATTAATTTGCTCCGAGTAGACCTTTTAAACTATTTTATCCATTAAAAACCAATTTTATTTAACTTCAGTTAATATTAATATCTTCTAGTATTTTTTCCTGAAACAAAAATCTGCTAAAAAGTATCTCGATCAAAAAAAAAAAAAAAAAACCAGCTGCTTTCTTCAGCAAACAGGAAAAACTCAAAAAGCATATACAAAATTATAATAATCCAGACCACCGTTACTCTCCTCTTTTCCCCCATTTCTCTCGTTCATCTCCTTCCGACAACGGTGGGTTTCGGCGGTGGTGGATGGCAAGAAGTAACAAATATTCCTCCATCAACTTCAATGACATCTATGAAAAGAAAGTGATCAACAGCGGCAGCAGCAACAGCTCTTCCAATTCTTCACCATTCCATCATTCTTCTTCCTCCTCCTCATCTGGGCATTCATCTTTTGGTAATCACAGTAAGCCCGCGATTTCGAATTCCAGAATCCATGGACACATGCTTGTTTTAAGCAAACCGGCAGCTCCGAAACCCAAGCCCATCATCATTCCCCAGACGACCCAGCAGCCTCAGCCTCAGAAGGCGCCATCCGTATCAGCACCGCCACCGGTTGGGAAGCCTGCCAAAGGTGCTTCAGATCAGCCCGGGTCTGAATCGGACTCCATTTCTCTCCGCCCTCAGGGTCGAACCGGATCCGGTTCGGCGGTGGTTGTGTCTCCGCTCCCTTCTCCTGGGAAACCCAGTTCCCCATTGAGTTCGCCTCTGCTCAAGTCGGACCGTTTTGTGCCGCCCCATCTGAGACCAGGGTTCGTGGGCCGTGAGGAGAAGCCTGGACCGCCGGTTGTGAAGGGCGGCGTGCAAGGCGGAAGAGGAAGAGGGCAGTTTGGTTATCCGAACGTTTACGGGGAGGACGGGAGACCTAAGTCTGGAGGTGGGTATGAAAGGATGAGGAGGATCGGTGGAGAGCCGGAGCATGTGGATTTTATGATCCGACCCGGTTCAAGCGGTGGTCGTCCCAGTTCCAGTGGATGAAGGTATATTGACCTCCTAGTTGTTTTTAAGAATCTCTCTTTTGTTTCATTTGTGCTTTTCTTTTTTTTTTTTTTTTTTTCCCTTTGCTTTGTTGACTTAATAATTGAGCAAAATGGTTCCTGGTGATCGGGTCTGTTTGGGTGCAATCATGTCTATCCCCAGATGATTCTTTCCCATGTAAAATTGGTGTGCCCTTTCGCTTTATGTTCATGTTTCAATCTGGCGGTGGGAATTCTTTTTTTTTTTTTTTCCCTGGAAGCTCCCTAAACTTGTAATCTTCTTCTGTTCTGCTGTTGTTCTCTGCTTGGAGCATAGGTGTGATTGTTGCCACCTTTGCAGCCTGGACTCCATGTATTGATTTGATGATTTCTGTATCTGATTTATTTCTATGGCAAGGATTTGATGTCAATGATTCAATGTGTTTCCTTCATGTAATCATTGCAGATTATGTTAGCTACACAATTTGTTTGCATGACCTGTAGTTTTTGTGAACATGGGATTCTGTGAAGTGCAGTACCCGACTTCTTGCATGGTTTATGGTTCTGGTTCGTCATACATATGATGCAATGTGCTTCCTGACTTTGTTGCATGTGTAGTTTGTTTCAGATGACGTGCTGCAGATGTTTGGAACGAATATTACTGATTCGTTATACTTTATGGAGGTACTTTAATGCCCCCATGACGAGTCTTTGAATAAACGGTCTGGTTTGGTTTTGTTCCCTCGAACTTTACAAACCTATTGCGTGTCCAAATCTTTTTAAGGTAGTTGGCAATCTTGCTACTTAAATTGGTGTCATCCTTTGTCGTTTCTCAGCTATTTATTTGTCCCTTTGAGTCCAAGTTTTGCGGTTGACGTATAGAAAGAGCTGTCGGATGGATCATGTTAGGAGCTGCGTAATTTTGTCATTGACTAAAGAAAAGCGGTTCAACCAGAAACATCTTTTTTTGAATTTCAATGATTGCTTTTGTCGGTTTTCAAAATGTAACTCTAAAATAACCTAGCATGATGCAGTGTTCTCTTTATTTTTCTTCTAATGTGCATTTAGTTGTCCTTTGAAGTTAGAGATATAGTGAACATTCACAAAAGGAGAAGGAGACGGCAACCGACTTAAATACTTGCGTTATCTTTTCAAATCCTTGTGCATGCTTTTCAAAAAGGAAGATTGCTAATTTATTTCGTACATTGCCTTATAAAGGCGCATGTTTTTCCTACTTTCTTCTTATGTCTCTCAAATTTGTTATGTGCTAGTTTATTCAAAATTTCCTGCATTTTGTGCATGCTTTTTGCTTGACCATAACTCTTGCAATTTCTTTTCTGTAAAATAGTTATGAATCACGAGGAATTAAATCAGACCATCTTTTCCAATTGTGGTTAAGGTGTAGTTACCTTTTTAATGTTTTCAGAGATCGTTGTTTATATGTTTTCTGGAGGTAAGTGTGGCTACGTCTTTGCGTTCTTCTGCCTGAGAACTTGGTACGGTTGTTTACATGACCAGTAAAATGAGGTTATAATTTTTCTCTTGGAAGTTCTGTGCACGAGAAGTAGTTTTTACTTGTTTTAGTGGCTCTTTGTGCGAATTAGATGATGTTTATGGAAACCTTTGTTGATTCCTTGCAATTTGGTGCCCAATGTGGTGTGTGATATAAACCATTTTTCTCTCCAAGGAGATAGTTGTTCTGAGAGTTTGTCAATCTGCTGGAGAATGAGAGGGTGAATAAATAAAGGCACTGATTGTGAAACAGAGCATTGGTGTAATGATCCATGTATTTGTTGCTAGATGTTCAAACTTACTTCTATGGAACATACAGTATCTTTCCACTACCAAAGTGAAATCTTATTTTTCCTCTAATCTCGTCTCCTTTACAAACGTCAAAATCCTTTTTCATTGGATGTTCTCTTTGCTTTTGGACTGGAGAATTGTTATTTCTCTATTTCCTGTGGGTAAATAATTCATCTTCAATCGGGATTTTGACATTGCTGAACAATAATATTCATGGCCTTGAAATAACTTCTTAATACTGTGAAGCCTTCTCTTACTGCATGAGCTGGCATATCCATATTTTTAAGATATTGTTTTCTTTACCACTTTTTCCAGTAGGTTGCTGTTCCACCAGTAGAGGCATTTTATTGGCTATGCTTGTGTTGCTGGATAACATGTAGTTACAAACATACCCCCCTTTGAGGCTGTACCTACTGTTTGAATGTTTCTTGAAAGTAAGATCTGATAAAAAGCCATGCAATAATGTTGAAAATGGAGGATTATGACCACCTTATCCCAATATTCTTCAAATCAATGAAGTTTGGTTCCCCTTTAATGCTATAAAGTATGAAGAGCCCTTTGTGATGGAAAGATTGGCACTTTGCTGGGAAAAGCAGTAAACATGGAATGATTCAATGCATACCCTAGCTTTTCCCTTTTATCCATTTCATTATCACTGCCTTTTAATGCTAATCCTGGCTTTTGTCTCATGCAGGATGCATTCAAGGTGTTTCATGGAGATGCTAGAAGTTAGTGAAGCAGGGTCCTTTCCAATGGACGAAGTTTAGTTCTACCTGAGAATAGTCCTTACTTTTAGATGCTTTGTGGATACCCTTTAATCCTATGGATGTTGGATTTTGTTGACCTGGTGGCTGTGTCCACAGTCTATCTTTACTCACAGAGTGGATATAGCCCAGTTCTTCATAGCAGCAGTAGGGAACTTTTAGATCTTCAGTTTACAATTGACCTTGTAAATCACAATGCAAAAACTTGTTACTTATTGTACTATTTTCCCTTTGTTCATCTGTTGCTTTTATCATTGTATGTGCAGTAAGTTAATTCGGGACAGTTCCGACTGGGCTAATGAAGCCGAGTATTCAGAACCGAACAAGAATGTAGTATAGAAGCAAGCTGAGCTTTCAAATGCTCAAGGGTGTGATTTGATGCCAAGCTGGGGCTACACAATCTAAGGATAAAGTTCTATGATGCACTTGGTTCCGAGTACAGGAAAAGTTCTAGATTCATTGAAACCTGCATCTGAGAATAGGGTTGTCCATTCTTTCGGAGTCCTTTCTTTGCCATTGAATAAAACCATCATGGTCATGTCTTTTAGAGATGAATTAGCGGCTTCTTTTTGGCACCCTACTACATCTTCGATGATAAACACCTTTCCACCTTCTTCCTTCGCTGGAATAGCCCTTTTGCAATTCTTGAGGATTTTCACACAGTTCTCATCACTCCAGTCATGAAGAATCCACTGTTTTAACAGAGAGATTTCCGGATGTTAGAATTTATAGAAACTTTCTAAAACTACCTTGCTACGAAATCGACTGTTCTGTCACAACAATGTATCTTTACCTTGAGTAAGACTGCATTGGCGGAGGGTATAGTCTCAAACATACTTCCAGCAAGAAAGCTCAGATTTTTAGTTCCCTTCTGATTGGAAACAACGTGCGGGAGATCGAATACGACGCATTCTAAGCTGGGAAAAGTTGCCGAAAGTTCCCTCGCGACTGTGCCTATGCCGCCACCAACATCCACCAAAGATGTTAGTCCCTCGAACATGAATTTGTAGTCATGAAGCAGAGCCCTTACCATCAAACTTGAGTCTCTAGACATTACTTCGTAAAAATATTTGCAAAACTGAGGTTCTTGATCAATATAATCCCAGAAGCTTTTGCCATGAGCCGCCTCGAAAGGCGATTCTTGATCATCAGTTTTGAACCAATCCGTCAAGAAATTCCATGACTTAAATGTAACAGGGTCAACTGCTAGATAAACATGTGGTCTCAGATTGAAAGGCTCATGGCTGAGAAAAAGTTTGCCTGCTTGAGTAAGTGAATAGTACCCTTCCATTGGCTCAACAAAGAAGCCACCAGTTACTAAAAATTGGATTAACCGATGAATGTGTTGAGATTTGGAAGGGCTGATTGGGAGGGCAGAGGTCAACTCGGGAAGATTCATGGGGTTGCCATGTTTGTGAATCAAATCCGGGATGCCCAATTCGATTGCACATTTTAAGGATGCAGACATTCTGGAGTTGAGCATTTGCTTCAAAACCTGATTTTGTGCCTGAAGAATTTCATAATCACTATCAGGATCAGCGGAATTCGGCATTTTTCTTTGATTTTGGACACTCTCAGTGTTTAAGCTGATGACACGATGATCATTTTTATAGTGATCTTCCCCTTCCTCCATCCATGCATTAGTCAAATAATGAAGCCATATTCGCATAGTTACCAAAAAAAAAAAAAAAAGAACTACTCAATTTTGAATTTAGTTTTTAGATTGACATATTTGTGTCTACGCCTTTTTACTTTATTCTCGAGGAACAAGTATTTGGGATTTATTATTATTATTTTTTGAATATTTCACTTTGAACTGATTATTGTTTGGATGTTTTAGCCCCCTTTCTTTTCTTTTCTTTTTTCTTTTAATTTTTTTTTTTATAATCACATAAACTTGAACTAGTGTCAAAGAGAATCTCCGAAATTTGGCTTGTTTTGGTAAAAAGAAAAAGTCAAGCAGAAGAATGTATATTTATAAAAAAAATGGTGTGGCTTGGAAATTCTTGCCGCATGATCACTTGGGCAATTCTGCATGATTTTGGTATAGTAAAACACGGCTTCACTTCAAAGGGAAAATTTGCAAAGAAAGACAAGGTATTTGATAAATTGGCAATTAGTTTTAACGTGTACAAAAGTATCTATGTCTTTTTATGCGTTGAAGTAGTATATATACTAAAGTATGTTGGCGAGTTGAAATTGTTCCTACAATTTTCTTTCTTCCAGTTTATAGTAGCTACATTAGTGGCCGGCTTGTAACAACTAACAAGCTAAGTGATGGTAATGATTACCATTAAAAAAAAACAGATGACAGGCCACATTCATTTTACAACAAGAGTGAAATACCCTAATGTGGTTGGAGTAAAGAAACTCAACAAATCAGCCTTGAAATAAGCAAATGTATCATCATAAATGTCTTCAAGTCCTCCACGCTCGAATTTGAAGCCCTCTTTCATTAGTTTTCCCGATGAAATCCTCAGCTTAGCCGTCGATGGTAACCCTTCAAAACTGTACATATATGCAACAAGGAAAAAAACGAGAAAATCAAACTTTTCAGGTTTAAATGAAATCAGTTGAATATCGTTTCTCCTGAACTCAAAAAGGGCAATTTTTTACTTTGACAGGAATTTGGTGCCCCTTAGGATATCCTTCCCTCAAGAAATTGCGAGCTCAGGAACAGAGGAACTGACAGTAAAGCAAATGTAACAACCCGAAGCCGATTTTTTTCTCTGCTAAGAATATATGGGCTTCACATACAACTTCCAGTTGAGTAAGGGACATGTGATCCTGACAGCATTTGGCGCATCCCTTTCAAGCCATTAATCAGGAACTCATTTTCTGTAAATATTTACACTTTGTTCAGTTTAATTCAAGGCTAAAATCGGTCAATTCGATCAAATGCTTGCAATTTTGTTCACCTGTGACTAAGGACATAGCAAAGTTGACACTTGAGGGAATGTCAGGGGTAAGAGAAAGACCAGCAATTAGACTTGGAATTACAGTGATTAGATCAAGATTATTTTCTTCGGCGAATTTCCAGGCGGCCTTCTCAGCCAGGGTCTTGGAAACAGGATATCCCTGGAAAAGTAAATAAATGTAAACTTTCTTCATCATCATTAAGAATCTGCAAGACTTGATTTGCTTCATATATATATAGCTTATAAAGATAGAAATCGAATTCCTGAGAAAAAGATTGGGGAGATGAGATTACCCGATTAGGCTTCTGTAGACAAAAGAAACACCACATCAGTTCAGTTTCCTTCATCCCTGACAAGCCCTGTACCACTGAGGTCTCGTTGATGGTTACAGCTGCAGCTGAAGAAGTGAAAACCACCCGTTTCGCCGTTCCGGATTTCGCACATGTTCTTAGGATGTTTGCGACTCCTTGAATTGCTGGTTTGATCATGTCATTCTGTAGAATAAGAAATCAGAAACTAATTGAAGTCTGAAAAGGCGCCATTGGCCGCCCGAGTCGATTTTCACAACCCGTTTCATACCTCTGGATCTTTTGAGGTAAAGTTGATTATTGGAGAGCAACATGAAAGACAATGTCACAACCAGCTATATCGGGGAATCAAAACTGGATTCTTCAGTTTAATCTGCTTTGAAGTCTCCCAAACTCTGTAATGCCAAGAGGTGAGAAATCTTTTCCCCATTTCCTGCAGGCACAAAATTCACTACATTATGAATCTTTACTCATATCATACTCCATCCGGCCCTATTTTGTTAGGCACAAATTTATTGGTACATTCAATAAAAGCTAGGATTACTGGATTATAAGGTAGCATAAAGAAGATGCCAGGAAACCTGGGCCACCAATCACACAGGCCGTCTTCGATTAATTTCCAAAATCTATATATTCTTCAACCAAAAAAGCAATTAAACTTGAATCAATCATTTTTTTTCTTTTTTTTTCTTTTTTGGTTGTTGATGCAATTGAAGATTTCTTCCCAAGAGGGGCTGTTTGAATACGGATTAAAGTCCACATGGGGGGTTTTCACTGTATCATTCATGTCAACAAACTAACTCATTAGCACGTGAATCACGTATCTTCACCGCACCAAAAAAAAAAGAAAAAGAAAAAAAAAATTCAACCCCGGAGATTGAACTACATTATTAACCGTTGAATGCTTAGTCCAGTGCACGTTTTTCTTGCGTACCATCTAGTCTAACGGAAAGCTTCACCGGAAAAACAGCCATTGTCAATCCTGATTTTATCTTTTTGTCTCAAAACAATCAATTTTTTTTTTTATAAGACGGAATGAGTAATTTACACTTTTTAGGCCTTCTTGTGTGATGAAAGAAATGGTCTAAGCAAATTAACCTCCGAGTAACGGTGGCTCTATACATATTTTCTTCCTTCATCTATTGATATAATTGATTCAGATTGACTGATTCGGAAACCTAATTAACTCGTAATGCATATCTCTAATGTCACACAAATAAAATTATAACATTTTATTTTTTATTGTGAAAGTCAATCAAGTAGTATCTCCATTTTTTTTATTTCGGGTGAACCCAAAGTTTTTTTTTTTTTTTTATATATCTGTCGCGCTTCATTTTCAATACATTATTAAATACAGTTTTTTCAATTTTGACTCTCATCGCTCTCTACTTAATCACATGTTAATGATATTTACTTATTTTTTATACTCTAATTTCAAAATTTTGTATATCTCTAATACTATTTTATTTTTTATTTTTTTTTTGAAAGAAAACATATTTGCATTCATATTACTGAAAAAAATCTGGTACCGATTGAGTTACAAAACTTGGAGGTACAAAACTTGGAAGATCAAGAAGGACAATATATTTAAAAATTAAAGTCTCAATCATTATTTCTTTAATAATTATAAAAACTCAAAAGCGACATATAAAAATAATATTATTCCACACATACACACTGAACAAGATGATGAACTGGGAAGACAAAATCATTCTAATAATAATGAACCTCGATGAGAGATCTCAAGCCGAGTAGAGGAGTAATTGTATAGGAATTGAAGCCAGCTTCATGAAAGAGATTTGCCCACTCTTCCTCATTTCTTTCTTTTCCAGTGACCAAAACCATCATCAACATATCAAAGAATAGTTGAGTCTCAAATCCCTCATGATCAGTGCCATTTTTGTTCCCTTTATGCTTCTCTTCTTTCTTTATCACCATATCAATAATGATTACCTTCCCCCCGTTCTTCTTGTTTGGGATTGCCTCTTTGCATTTCTTGAGTATTTGTACGCATTCTTCATCACTCCAATCATGCAATATCCACTGCTTTCAATCAAATTAATTTTTTTTTCGAATTGCATTAGATAAGACTAACAACTACGACTAATTAAACGAAGAAGACTAATGATAATGCATCCATTTTACTAATCACTCGATTTGGTCAGCTAATAGTCTCGACATAATAACCATTTCTCCTTTTATTTCAATCACATTCGAATGTGACGGGTGTTTTTTTTTTTTGTTTTTTTAATCAAATTGCCAGATAAAACATCTTTTAATAAATCGGCAAATCAAGTTCATTTATGAATTACAGATGTACATAAACGATGAGAGCCTTTTTAGACTTTGGAAAATATCAAAATCATGGGTCACAAACTTACAATCTCACCTAACCAATTTGTCATTTGCCCTTAGAAGATCAAAATATCAATCAATATATCTTTGATAGAGGCTCTTTATACCCCATTGGTCAACTATTTTTCTACATCTTATCTTGGAAGTATGAAATTAGTGAAAATGATAGTCGTTGTGAAACACACTTTGCCGATAGCTTTCAAGACTACAAGAAATTAAGTCAAATCTTGTCTGCCTGAGCGTTTCTGTGCGTGACCGTATGTGCTCATCTTCTTTACCGAAATCAATCATCCAAATGCATGTATCAGAAAATTAAAAAAAAAAAAAAAATCAATCATCCAAACAACTAATGAATGTCTATTATTTGTAACCAAATCCGGACATCCATCACTTCATATCAGGTGCCTTGAATGAAGCAATCTTGATTGGTGAAAGATTATTTTTATATTATCTTTTATGCTATGAAGTTCACATGCATCATGAAAGTGTATTTACTATAACAGGTAAAGTTGTATTTATATATATTTTCTTAAAATATTATGCATTGCTATCGTATTAAATGGACCCATCTTTCCTTTTTTGTGATATTCCTGCAAAACTTTAGTCTCACCACGTTACTACGTAAGGTCACAAAATTAAATTTAAAGCTTTGAGTTCTCGAAGGTATTTTCACTACTATCGTCAAAACTATTAACAATTAATTTGCTTTCAACTACGTACTACTCACATTTTATTATTTGTTTTTCCTTCCATCTTAAAATTAATATCTAATTTGAATTTTCAACTTTAATTCAATCTTAACAAAAACTCAAAATATAAAATGGGGACGCTAATATAAGTTCTAATCCATGATAATATGACTTAGGTGTGCATGGAAATTTACTCTATCCTAAATTTTGTCCCGAAAAGAAATTTAATTACCTTCAACAAAACTGCATCAGCAGGAGGAATGGCATCAAACATGTCTCCTCCAACAAAGACCAAATCCTCAGTACAACTATTCTTCAAGCCATCAACCACATGAGGAAGATCCAACACAGTACACTTCAAGTTGGGAAAAGCATCAGCCAAAGCCTTGGCCATGGTTCCGGTTCCGCCACCAACATCCACCATTGAATTCATCCCCAAGAAAACATCTCCACAATTTTTGATCACCACTTTACTAACCAGCCGACAATCACTGGTCATCGCCTCGTTGAAGAACCGGTTCAACCCCGGTTCATCACCCGCGAGCTCCCATAAACCTTTTCCGTGACACGTGGTGAATGGCGTTACGCTAACATCACTACCATATTGAAACCATTGGCTCAGATGATGCCATGGATCCATCAAGAGTGGATCGAGCATTGCCATCACAAATGGCGTCACGCTTGAAGGGTTGTCTTTTACAAGGAGTTTAGACGATGGAGTAAGCGAATAGCCTTCTTCTCCAAAGGTTTTTTCTTTTCGAAAGAAGCCCGAATGCGTGAGAATTCGCATTAGGCGGGGGATGAATTGGGATTTTTCCTGGTTCACGGGAAGAGAATTGACCAATTGATGAAGGGTCATGGGTTGATTATCACCATGTTTGTGAATGATGTTTGGAATTCCTAACTCAAGTGCACATTTTAGGGACATTGAGTTTATGAAATTGAATATGTGATTCCATATGTGTGCTTGAGCTGCAAGTAGCTGTTCATGATCATCATGATCTTGTGTAGAGTTACCATTATTTCTAAATGAATTCATGTATTTTTTTTTTCTCCCCTCTTTTTTTTTTTCACTCTAGGATGTGTGTGGGCTTAGTGCTGAATAAATAGCAAAAACTTGACTTTTATAAGTAGTAATTGGCTAGGTGTTGGAACGTACGTGGGACACATTGATCGATCACATGAATCATGGCTGAAGTTGCATTCATTATATGGATATGACGATCGATTAATGATCAGTTATAATATTCTTAAATATATAATTCGGAGTTAGAATCATTGAAGGCAGAATCATTGAGTAAGATTCATAAAGATGCTAATTAGATTAGGTGAACAAAGATGCTAATTGTTTGTTTTATTAACTTGGAATAAAGGTGCTAATTGTTTGTTTTGTTAACTAATTAGGTGAAACTGTGATTTTCTTGTGCTATATTTTTTTGGTTTACAAATTAAAGTGTTTGGATTTAATAAATATACAAATGAATTTCCCAAGATGAAATATTTCAACTTCATGGCAGTAATTTTAGAGCAAATTTTGCTCCGCAACTAATCCGAGCCGAATTGATCTTTTCAGGAGACTAAACTCGTCAAATAACTTTGTTTTAAATGCTTCATCTTTTGGTGCTTGATGCCGTTAGAGATAATTTGTCCTTTCAGAATTTTCCTTTCCCTTTTTGGTAGCTATTCAGCTGCTTGCACAATTTATTTATGTGTCGATGGTTGTCTCTTTCTCTTTTTTCAACCAGAGCTCACATACATGGCTACTTGATTGATAAAGAATCAAAATTGATGAGTTTATCTTTTCACCTGTAACAAGTTGCGTGTATATTCAACCTCTTTTTTCTACTTTATAAATTCAATTCTTATAGTATCAAGAAATTAAATCCTCTTAAACATACATCGCGAGACCATTTAGAATTTTAGACGGATTATGAACAATATATATATATATATATATTTATTTATTTATATTGTATCTGTTCCAAAAAAAATTATTTTTTGTTAAACTAAAATGAATTATGTTTGTGAAATAGACGGAGTCAATTATAGATCCGGCGTCTAAAACTATATACTCCCTTTGTCCTAAAATTATTGTCCAATTTGAGATTTTACTTTTAGTACAATTTAAACGTGAAATGAAAACCTAAATTGGACAATTATTATGGGACGGAGGGAGTATATTACAATTGACAGCAAAAATCTTTTCCAGAAGATTAAACCCTTCAAAAAGTATATACTTATAATTACGTCATGAGCTTTTCACTTGCCCTTCGATAATTTTTCTTTCCCGATAGCAATTCATCTACTTGCAATATTTATTTTTATCTCCGCGTTGTCCTTTTCTCTTTCTCGATAAGAGGCCGCTACAGAGAAATGGGGATTGTAACTGCCCTTTCGTCACCAAAAGAACTAAAATTCCATTTACTTTCTTTTCCCCTTATTTTTTATGATTTAAGAACCTTGCATGATTTTGTTGAATAAGGTATCATTATCATGTTTCCTCTCAATCGATCATTAAACAAAAGAAAATTTCTAAAACTTAGTGGCGAAAGGTTTTTTTTTTTTTTTTTTTTTCCATATTTGTAGCGTGTCCACCGTCGGCAACAGTGACTAATCTCCCGCGCTGAATTATAGGCATCTCAATGAGTGGGACAGCTGGCCAAATTTTTTAAGGCTGCTCCATGCTCATGGCGAGATTCGAACTCTCAACCTATAGTTAAGGATAGAGGAGTCCATTCTTAGTGGCGAAAGTTGAACCTATATTTTTAAGGAATTGATACAGTGGGAACCTTCTGATACATAACGTATTAACGTTTATATTCGAGTCGATCATAACTTCAAGAGTCTAATTAACAAAGAAATTATCTAATTCGTAACGACTGAAATGAAATCCAATTCTACAGATATCAGTGATTTGGAAGAATAAGTTGCACTTTCCATCCCAACCACTACACATGTAGAAAGGAGTGCAATCAAAGGCTAACTAATTGAAGTTCTTCTGTCTCCAAAAATTATTCACATTAATGTATACTAAAATCAGTATATTAATTACTATTGGTGTAACTAATATTTACCGTAGTAAATTAGAATTAGAGCTGTCCTTTATGTGTATATATATACGGTGTACATCTCTGTTAATAAATCAATGAAGAGTAATTTTTATTATTCTGAGTTGGTACAGAAATAGGGTTTCTCTTCAATATTATTTTCTTCTGGCGACGCCTCTCTTTGCTTCTGGCTGCTTCTTTTTTTTTTTTTTTTTTCTCTCTGCTTCTAGCCGTCACCTCCCTCTTCCTGGTGGTCTTCGATTCTGCTTCTTCTTCTCCTTTAGTGAATCATATTCATCACCTTGTTAGTTTTTGCTGCTAGCCGCTGCTCCGTTCGAGCTGGTTCTTCTCTCCATGCCCGACGTTTGTCGACGTTCACCTCTGCAATTTTGTTGTTTCCTGTTTGTTACTACTACTGCTGCAACGTCCTCGTCAGCCGTTGTTACTGCTGCAATTTCAGACTGTCTTAGCCGGTGTTTTCTTGATTTTCTCCGCCGACTCTGCTACGGCGATCTTCTTTTTCCTGTTAGTTAGATTTGTCTGCCCTCTCTTGCCGCTGCTGTTTGGTGTTGCTGCGAATTCGATGCAGTTGCCGCTGCTGTTGTGTGACGCTTCCCAAGTTTGCTCCTGCAACGGTTGCTTTGAAGTGGACCTCCGTTGTCAGTTCTTGGTGGTCTCCGCCAGTCCCTCTTTGACTACTCCTTCTGAGACATTTTTTTTGCTGCTGCTTCTGTCTTCTTTGCTTCGCTTCTCACCATGTCTGAAGTTAATACCACGCAGCAGCCCAACTCTCAGTCGGGGATGGCCTCTACTGTTGCGCCGTCTCTTCAGCCGAGCCTTCAGTCCCTCAATCATTCGTTCACCGTCAAACTTCAATCAAGGGCCAATTATCCAGCATGGTGGCTGCAATTTACTCCCCCGCTTAACATGTTCTAAGTCTCCGGCATTGTTGACGGTTCTGAGCCCCAACCGCCGCCTTTCCTTCCTTCTGCCGGTGATGCGCCGCCTCAACCAAATTCAGTGTTTGATGTGTGGCAACAAAAGGACCAGATGGTTCTGTCATGGATCCTCTCCTCTGTCACCGAGGATATCTTTCCCACTCTCCAAGGAGCAACAACTTCGGCGGCTGCATGGTCGGCCATCCAGCAAGGTTACAGCACCCTTTCATATGCACAACAGACATAATTGGTTCTTGAACTTCATAATCTTCAAAAAGGAGACCAATCAGTCTCTTCTCTACTTCATGAAGCCAAGGGAATTGCCGACTCTCTCAACCTTGCTGGACAGAAAATTTCCGCGGCTGAGTTCAATGCCATTATTTTCTGGAAACATGGGGCTGAGTTTAATGGCATAATTGGTGCTTTGCAACAGCGGGATGCACCTCCATATTTTCAGGATTTGTTGGGCCAATTGGTGTCTTATGAGATTCTTCTTCACGCCCAACAACCGGTTGCTCCACCGTCGGCATTGCTTGTGCATTCCTCACCACCCGGAACGCAGCACCCGACCTATCGTGGCATTGCTCAACTGGCACCTCGTGGCGGTCGTTCTCAACGTGGTGGTCGTCGCTCCCCGTTTGGTGGTCGTGGTGGTGGTAGCCGTGGCTACTCTTCTCCGACCCCTGGTGAAACTTGTCAACTTTGTGGCATTTTCAATCATACCGCCGCCGATTTGACTCTAGTTTTGTCCCTCGGCAATCTTCGCCATCTGTAGCTTACACTCAGTTTGTGTCTACGTCTTAGAATGCACTAGGGTTGTTGCCTTCTCCTTATCCGGATTTCACTATGTCCTCTCAAGCTCACATGGTCGGGGTCTCACTCCTACTACTCCTTGGCATCCTGATACTGGTGCTACAGATCATGCGACTCCGAATTTGTCCTCGCTCAGTATCTCTAATGACTACAATGGTAAGGATCATCTTCTTGTTGGTAATGGTGTTGCTTTACCTATTAAGCATGTTGGTCAATCTGCTTTGCCATCGATTTCCCGTCCTTTATTTTTAAATCGTGTTTTGCATGCTCCCTCCCTTACTAAATCACTCTTATCCGTTCAAAAATTTGCCAAGGATAATCATTATTTTTTTGAATTCTATTCTGATTCTTGTTGTGTTGAAGATCTCTCAACCAAGGAACTGCTCCTCCGAGGTCAGGTTGATAATGGTCTCCATCGCTTGGATCTTCCTGCTCGTGGTTCCGTATCTCTAGCCGCTTATCTTATTTCCCTCGGTCAATGGCATGCTCGTTTAGGGCACCCTAATAATGTTACCCTTCGTACTTTAGTTAGGCAGCTTCAGCTTCCTCATTCTTCTTTGTCCACGTCCATTGATAAATGTGAGGCGTGTTGCTTAGGGAAGTTGCATCGAGTCAGTTTTTCCTCTTCATTTCATCGAGGTGCGAAATCTCTTGATTTAATTTATACTGATGTTTGGGGACCTGCACCCGTCTTATCTTTTAATGGTTATCGCTATTTTGTGCTTTTTGTGGATGATTTCTCTTTATTTACATGGCTCTATCCTATCAAAAATAAAAGTGATGTTCCTCATATCTTCAAGCAGTTTAAAGCCTTAGTTGAAAACCAATTTGGCACTACTATTAAAAGTGTCAACTCTGATTGGGGGGGGGGTGAATTTCGTCCCTTGAACTCTTTTTTCAAAGATGTTGGTATTATCCATCGTATCGCCTGTCCTCATACTCATGAGCAAAATGGCACTGCTGAGCGGGAAATTCGTCATATTGTTGATATTGGCCTTTCTCTCCTTGGCCCCTCTGGCGCTTCCTTTAGATTTTGGGATTTTGCATTTGAAACTGCTGTTTTCTTAATTAATCATCATCCTGGTAAAACCCTTCGTGGTCAAATCCCTAATACTATCCTTTTTCATCAACCTCCTGATTACGCCTTTCTTCGCGTTTTTGGTTGTGCTATCTATCCTTTACTTCGCCCGTATAATCGTCATAAATTTTCTTTCCGCTCCACCCAATGTGTCTTTCTTGGC